ATCCCTTCCCCCTTGTCCTCTCCCTCCCTGCCCTTGTCCCAAGTCCCTCCCCAGCTTTCCTGGAGCCCCTTCAGGCACTGGAAGCTGCTCTAAGGTCTCCCTGGAGCCTTCTCTTCTCCAGGCTGAACACCCCAACTCTCCCAGCCTGTCTCCAGAGCAGAGCTGCTCCAGCCCTTGGATCATTTCCATGGCTCCTCTGGACTCTCTCTAGGAGCTCCATGTCCTTGTTGTGTTGGGGGCTCCAGAACTGTACAGAGGGGTCAACAAGGACATGAAAATGAGACCAAAGGCCCACCTAGACCTGTGCTCTCTCTCCACCACTAGTAGGACATGTAGAACATGGAATCACAGAGCAACACCTGTGAGATGGGTTCATGTCTGACAAGTACCTAACTAGGTTGCTCCTGGCACTCAGGCTGTTGTGTCCCCTCTGCCCAAGCCCAGTACCTTGGTTTTCTCCACGGTGAAGTCGCAGGGCCGGACCATGCAGAGCCGGGTCTCCTTCTCCAGGCGGCACCAGGGGTTGTCGTTGGTGACCCGGGCAGAGATGCCCATCCCACAGCTCTTGGAGCAGGCACTCCACTCGGTGGTCTGCACCAAGCAGTTCTCCTGCAGGTTATTCAGCTCTGGCTTCTGTGCTGGATCCTCCCTGAAAACTGAGCCACAGGGAAGAGACACAAGGTGAGGTTTGGGGCTTGGGATGGAGCGTGGCAGTTCTGTGGCTGCTCCCAGCGTGGTCTGACTCTTCAGGGATGGCAGCAAAGGTCTGATCCACCCTGTGAGATCCTCAGCCTCTCAGCCAAAGACCATGGGCAAGCATGGGACCATTTTGTACCACAGCCTGCTCCCTCAGCATAAGAAGGACACGTAGCTCCTGGAGAGAGAGTCCAGAGGAGCCACAGAGATGATCCAAGGGCTGGAGCAGCTCTGCTCTGGAGACAGGCTGGGAGAGTTGGGGTGTTCAGCCTGGAGAGGAGAAGGCTCCAGGGAGACCTTAGAGCACCTTCCAGGGCCTGAAGGGGCTCCAGGAAAGCTGGGGAGGGACTTGGGACAAGGGCAGGGAGGGAGAGGACAAGGGGGGATGGATTAAAACTGGCAGAGGGGAGATTGAGGTTGGACATGAGGAGGAAATTGTTGGGTGTGAGGGTGGTGAGAGCCTGGCCCAGGTTGCCCAGGGAAGCTGTGGCTGCCCCATCCCTGGCAGTGTTGAAGGGCAGGTTGGATGGGGCTTGGAGCAACCTGGGCTGCTGGGAGGTGTCCCTGCCCATGCAGGGGGTGGGACTGGATGGTCTTTAAGGTCCCTTCCAACCCAAACCAGTCTGAGATTCTGTGATTCCAGTGGATGTGTGACCCTCCCCACTAGGGTCTCAACAGGTCTGGAGTTCAACCCTTGGTGCCCACACAACAATGCCCAAAGCCAACACCCACCACCAGCTCCAAACCAGATGCGAGTCCCAGCCCAAAGACAGTTTGGATCCCAAACTTCTACCCCTACCAAAGACCTCTCAGCCCTGTCCCCTCTTGCTCACCACCTACCTGCCATGGCTGTTTGGACGCGGTTCTCCTGGCTGGCCTCCTGGCAGACCCACTCCTCACAGCACTTGTTGTGTTGACGCGCCGGGGGCGGGGGCAGTGGGGGGACGGCAGGCGCAGGTCGTCGGAGCAGGGCGGGATGCAGCCGATGGCCCCGTCCATGCAGATGCACTGCAGCTTGCAGGTGGGCTGGAAGCTCTCCCCGTTGTGGTAGATCTTGCCCAGCAGGTCACAAGTCTCACCTTCGTGAGCTGTGGGAAGGGGAGAAGTTGAGCAGAGGGTGCGGGGATGGCAGCAGGGTCTGTGAGTTCAGTGGGTTGGAGCAGCTCTGCTCTGGAGACAGGCTGGGGGAGTTGGGGTGTTCAGCCTGGAGAAGAGAAGGCTCCAGGGAGACCTTAGAGCACCTTCCAGGGCCTGAAGTGGGCCTATAAGAATGCTGGGGAAGAGCTGTTCACCAAGGTTTGCAACAATAGGACAAGGGGTAATGGTTTTAAGCTAAAAAAAGGGTGGATTTAAGTTGGACATTAGGAAAAAGTTCTTTACCATGAGGGGGGTGAAGCACTGGAACCAACCTCCCACCAGCCCAGGTTGCTCCAAGCCCCATCCAACCTGCCCTTCAACACTGCCAGGGATGGGGCAGCCACAGCTTCCCTGGGCAACCTGGGCCAGGCTCTCACCACTCCCACAGCAAAGAATTTCCCCCTCATGTCCAAACTCAATCTCCCCTCTGACTCCTCCAGTCCTCGACAAATTGTTCCAGTGGTTTACCTACCTTTACTCTACAAACACACCTGATTTCCAGGCTTTATTTCTATATCCACACTTTACACCCACTGGATATTACACCTACATTCTCCTCATGAAGCTTCAATCACCAGCTCTTCAGCCTATCAATGCCCACAGAAAGTACTAGGAAGCTCAGGTGGCTTCTAAAGATCAAATAACTGGGGGAGGAAAATGAAATTACTTATACTTCCCATGAGGAGAAAACACCTTCTACAAGTTCAATTAATTACTTAGAGAAAATAAATGATGATGGTGTGTGATCCTGGCACTGCAAACAGTGCAGTTCCATCCCCAAACCCCACAATCCATCTTGGAATGGTTGTTGAAATCTATGGATTTCCAGGGATATTCAGTTTTCACCTCGGCTTTCCAGCCCTCCTGTCTTCCTAGTGCTGAATTTAAAAAATATATATATATAAATGGTCAGCACCTGGCAGGCAAGTCTTGTTTTTAAACACAGGAGGCTGAGGAAATAGTTGTGTTGGGTTTTCTTCCCCTCTACACCAAAATAATGTTGGCGGTGCTTTAAAAACAGCTACTAAACAAGAAAAAAACCCAACACCCAAATATTTGTATTTTCTGCTTGAAAAGACGCACAAGGATGAACTTAGAGAAAACAGCCCCTGTGGTTTTGCCTGGCTCAGTCATTCTCATGTTATACAAACACAATATTGTGCAAACCAGCTGTTCAGCTCTTTCCACCCAAGTGGCAGAGCCAGGGATAAGAGGTGGCTCCTGCAAAATTCCAACCTCCAGTGCCAGGCAGTAGGATTTTAGGTGTGATTTTCCAAGCAATTTTACTTCCCAGTTAGACTCCAGATTGCTGATATTTACCCCCAGGCCCTACAGGGCCAGCAGATGTCTTAGGGGAACAAAGGAGAGCCCCAAATCCCCACTTGTGGCTTTGGAAACATCCTTCCCTAGGAGCAAGTGGGTTGTGTGTGTTGGTGTCAGGGGATCTCTTGGCTTGCCAGGTTTGCACAGATGTCCCATCGTGCTGCTGGATGAAGTTCCAAGTGCTGCAGGAGATTCTGCCCCTGCCGGGGTTTTTTTGGGAGGTCTGGAGGGGCCGGGAGTTTAAAAAAAAACCAGCACAAGAACAGAACAGGCAACTCTCACCTAAGCAGATGCCGCTGCCTCTGTGGATTTTGGAGAAGTCGCAGTAGAGCCCCTTGTGGTGGTCACAGGGTTTCTGCAGGGAGCAGAGCTCGCCGAGCTGCCTGGCACACACCTTGCAGCAACCACAGGCATCCAAGACGTGGCTGGTGCCAGCGGGACACTGCAGGGGCTGGGAGGGACACTGGCAGGGATACGTGCAGGCCTGTGGTTCTACCTGGAGGGCAGACAAGTCGGGGAGAGGATCAGTTACCTGCAAGGGTGCTGGGCAGAGAAAGGAAACAATGTGGTTCTGTGTCAAGCACAGACACCCGTCAACAGGGGAGAAGGCTGGAGCAGCTCTGCTCTGGAGACAGGCTGGGAGAGCTGGGGTGTTCAGCCTGGAGAAGAGAAGGCTCCAGGGAGACCTTAGAGCACCTTCCAGGGCCTGAAGGGGCTCCAGGAAAGCTGGGGAGGAACTTGGGACAAGGGCAGGGAGGGAGAGGACAAGGGGGGATGGATTAAAACTGGAAGAGGGAGACTGAGGTTGGAGATGAGGAGGAAATTGTTGGGTGTGAGGGTGGTGAGAGCCTGGCCCAGGTTGCCCAGGGAAGCTGTGGCTGCCCCATCCCTGGCAGTGTTGAAGGGCAGGTTGGATGGGGCTTGGAGCAACCTGGGCTGGTGGGAGGTGTCCCTGCCCATGTAGGGAGGTTGGATCTGGATGATCTTTAAGGTCCCTTCCAACCCAAACCAATCCATGATTCTATGCTTCTGAGAAGACTGATGCAGCCTCCACGCGAGAACCCTCCAGCAGAGGATGTGTGTGCAGCTCCCAGGGGCTCACAAGACTCCTCTTTTTCTCATCTCTAACTCATCTGGACCTCGAGGAAAAGAAAATAAAATATGCCTTTGAGAAGCAGGGCCAAACCAAATAGGAAAGGGAGTAGCTTGGAGTCCTGTGCACAGCTCAGCCCCCAACCCCCCTGCTTCCCTGAAAGCAGTAAAATGGCAATAATTAACAGGAAGAAATTCCCAGCTCTTACATAGCACTGCTCAGAAGGAAACATCATATAATCATAGATCATGGAATGATGAAGGTTTAAAGGGACCTTAAAGATAATCAGGTTCTAACCCCCTGCATGGGCAGGGACACCTCCCACCAGCCCAGGTTGCTCCAAGCCCCATCCAACCTGCCCTTCAACACTGCCAGGGATGGGGCAGCCACAGCTTCCCTGGGCAACCTGGGCCAGCACCTTCCTACCCTCATAGTGAATAATTTCTTCCTGATGTCTAACCTAAATCTCTCCTCTTTCGGTTTAAAACCATCACCCCAGGTAATGCCTTTCTAAGCATCAAAGCAGCAGAATCAGACCCAGTCCAAAGACAGAAAGAGTGAGGTACAGAATGAAAGGCTTGCCCAAGAAATGACCCAAAGGCTCCCAAGTCCCGTTTTGTCCCCTGGATCTCATACTCTGTTCACTATTCCCAGAGATGTCCCTCTCCTTTCCCCTTCCCAGGGAACACAGTAAGCCACCTTCCTTAGTACTCTGTGAATCCACAGCTGCCCTCTTGGCAGCAGCTCAGAGGTGCTGAAGCCCCCCCTTGGCTTTCCTGCCCCTTCAGGTGCTGACCAGAGATGAAGCTGTGGCTGAAGGGGAGTTACCTCCTCCAGAAAACCCAGGATGCCTCAGACACCCCAATAACTCTGTGGCCTCCTTGTCCCAAACCAGCTTGGGGTGGATACACCAGCCTCAGCTCTGGCTGCACCTGGATTTGGGCAAGATGTAAAGCCACAGCTGTGAAAGGTGCAGAGCACATGGCCTGGAAAGATCCTCTTGCACCTCCTCAGGAACATCAGTGTGCCAACTCCAGCCTGGACTTCTGTCCAGCTGCTGGCCCCTAAAATACTCCAGGTATTTCAGAGGGATAAGCCCTGCTCCAGTTTGCAGCACCTGGGAGCTCCACCACACTGGGAAGCTGCTTATCCAGCCCTTGATGCCAGCAAAATACTTTAGGATCCTGGATTGCTCTCAACTCCTGCACAACAGGGTGGGTGGAGAGGAAGGACAGACCCCTCCCCACAGCTCCACTGCCACCCAGGGAGAGGGGCTGCAGCAGCTGGGAAGGGCCTGGAGGTGGGTGGGAAGGGGGAACACCTGGAACAGAGGCCAAAAAAAGATCTTGCTGTGGCTCTGTTTGCACTTGTTCTGTCCCATCCAGCTCTTGCTTGTGAAACAGCTTCCTTGGATATTGTGTTTGTCACCAATAACAGTAGTAAAACTTTTCCAGCTGTTGGGACTGTTGCTCCAAACAGCTGCTCTGACTTTAGCTCACGTGGGGTCAGCAGATGCCAAGGGCTTTGTGATTCTGTAAGGATCAGCACAGTGTGGTGTGGGACAGGGATCAGACTAAAGCTTCACTCCTAAATCCTCTCAGAGTCTCCTCCCGCTCGGCAGGAATTGGCACAATTCTCCTTGAGAATTCCTAGCACAAAGTATTTTGGAAACAAGCCCCTCCTGCCTGTAGCCCAGCTGTGCTCTGATGGCAGACTCCCTGGGAGCTGGCACATCCCAGGGATCTCTTCCCAGCTGCTGAAGTGCATTAAAAGACACTAAAAATACAGCAATGCTTTCCTACTGGTTTCCATGCATTCAAGTGCTGGAGCTGCCAAAAAGGACGTGTTATTCAGGCATGGATGAGCAGGCAGGGGGCACATGAGATCATCAAAGAGGCAAAGCATTCCTAAAACAGGGCCTATATTAAGATGCAATCCATGCACTTCAAATAAAACAAAAAAAATCATGACAAGAACCATTTTCCAATGCAGTGTCAGCCACAGGCCATCTAAGGAACTGCTCTCAGAATAGTTCTCCTACTGAAAAACAAACCAGAACAACCTCTTTGGGGATAACAGAGAAAGCAACGAGATTAACCCCAGCTGAGCTTTCCTTTTCCCCTTCATTACTCCTTGCTGGTGCTGTTTATTTCCTTTAATAACTCACCCAGAGAAGCTCGACCACCTGGTTTTACCTTCTGTTTACAATCAGCTCCTCTTCCTCATTCTACCACAGCTGCTTTTCAGCACCAGAACATCTGGAGTCAGATCAGAGACCTGCTGGGTGGCTCTGCAGCCCGACCTCTTCTGTGCTTCACTTCCCCCACCCAAGCACACTGTCAAAGGCCCAATTCATCCCTATTTTTGGGGCTCTTTTCAAGACTTTAGAGATTTTCCAATCAGCTGGCTCAGACATGCCTCTCTTCATCACCCACCTGGCCCCAGGGTGTGCTGGGCTCCTGTTTGCTTGGTTTCTCACTGAGCAAAGTGCTGTTTATAATCCCCACGAGCTCAAGAGAGGAGAGAATGAGCTGAAATCTTTTCTGGTTCATGTCCACTCAGCAGTGGGCACTGCAGAGCTGGCTGGTGGGGAACTTTATGAGCTGGAAAGAGCTGGTAGAAAGTCAACATTGAATCAAATGCCTAGATTTCTCCCCCACTGAATTGGCTTTCACAGCAACTTTGAATAGGCTGAATAATGGAGTTGCAGGGAGCACCCTCTACCCTGCATTGGTTTCAAGAACTGCTTCAAGGAGTTCCTTCAATCCTGTGTGGAAACTGCCCAAACTGACCCAAAGAACTTCAACGACTCACATTCAGGGCTTTGCTACAGATCCCCAGGAAGCACAAACACCAGAGTTGCCACATAACATGCTACTGACCTGGGTGCTGAGGGATTCAACTGAGAGAACATTTAATTTTTCTTCCCCTTTGTCTGTCCCCAAATCACACCTTTATTTTCACTGAGCAGGATCCTAACTTCAAGTTCACTGTAGCCTTGGCCTTGTTTCTGTTGAGGTTAGCAGTGCACTTCTGGGAACTTGGAGAGCAGCAGAACAGAACCAGTATTGGAGATCAAGGCTACAGATTGAAGGCAGTGCTAAAGCCTGGAGTACCAGCTCTCCCTGCTTTGGGCTTTGCTGGCAGCTCGTTTCCATCACAACCACCAGGTGTGAAGCTGGGACCCCCGAGATGGCCAGGCCACCAGGGGAGCACAAAGAGCCTGGCTGGAGGACTCTCCTCCCTCTGCTCCACACACCTTCTCCACCACTGACTCCCAGGTCCCACCTGCTCCTCTGACAAGCCAGAACAAGCCTCCTCCCAACTGCCAGCACTGAACCAGCTACCTGGGGTGGGGGAAGAAAATCTGAGAATGTTCTTTCTGCTTCATATCCACAGAAAACCTCTACCCTCTCCACCCTCAGGAAGGCACAAGCTGGGGGACAAAAGCTCCTACCACTGCAGTTCTGTGGCATCACCAGGACTTTACTCCTGACCAACATCCACATGAACCCAGGGAACCAGCTGAGAGGGCCAAGCCAAAGAGGGTTTATAAAATCCATTTGGACCTCCTGACTTCATTCAGAGGGTTGGGAAAGGGGCATCTGGAGCTGAGCTGGCTGTCTGCCAAGTGCTTTGGGAGCCAGGAGTAATGTCATAACCACAGACCTGGTTCCCTTCCACACTCCCAACACGGGCAGTGGGCAAAGCAGCCAGAACACAGCCATCCACACACTCCAAAATGTGGATTGTAGATAATACCTGCTCTCCCTCAGGCTCAAGGCACTTTCTCCAGGTTGCTGCAGCACATGGTACAACAGCCTGTTCCCAGGGCCTGGAACCACTGCCCCCAGCTCTCAGAGAGAGAGTGGGAACAGGGAGAATCCTGAAGGTACCTGCCAGCACTCCTGGCCCTGCTCTTGCCTCCCAACAATATTGGAGACAGATGCAGGAGTCACTGCTCTCATTTCCTTGCTCAATCCACTAAACATCCCTTTCAGAGCTCCAGGACAGACAAAAGTCCCCCTTCAGAGGCAGTCAGCAGGGAAATGACACCATCCCAGAGGAGCAATGAAATGCCACAGCAGTGGGACTCACTGCTGCCATTGGCATGACCAGGATGGTGCTGCCAAAGGTGGGTCAGGACAATGAACACAACAACCACCCCAAGTGGCAGGAGTTACCTTTAGATCATGGTAGTGCTGGGGGAGGGCACAGGACATCCTTCCTGGCAGGAAAGGGGCTGACACAGGCTGAGCAGACCTTATCAACCACAAGTTTATTGCCTCTATCAGCACAAAAAGCCACACAAGCCACAGCAGCTCCATGCATCTCATTTCTTCACCCATCCCACCTGGAATTCAGATACATTCATGACTGCAGCAACATTCCTGCCATCACTGGCACTGTCATAGCCCACAAAAGTCCTAAGCAGAATCAGCTGCTCTGTCAAACACTTTGTATTAAGATAAAACCAGGCACAAATCCTACTCTGGACAGGCTGCAGCCTTATTTTCCCCCTCGGGATCACTGGGTTTTGGGAACATGTGGGTGGATTCAGTGGTGACAGAACTGGGACCTGAGACTTTTATTCCTTGCAGGGACATCAACTGAGTGACTTCACCTGTCTCTGCTCTCCTCTCCCCCTGTGCCAAGCAGGGCTGGCTTCTAGCTCATAGGAGTGGAGCAAAACAAAATCCATTTCCCACCTGCCAAGAGCTCTGAGGTCCACAGATGACAGGAGTTAGATACAGTGCTGCACCCTTCCCCAGCAGCCATCCTTCTCCTGGAAAACTTGGGGAGCAGGTGGCAGCTGGGAAGGGTTATCCAGCCCAAAACACTCACATGCATCCAAGCAAGAAGCTGCAATGCCCAGCGAGCAAAGGGAGCTGCTGCAGTGCAATACATACCCAGCCAGGAGCAAGGAGGAGGAGGAGGAACAGGGTCCAGGTCACTGTTCCCAAAATGCCAGACATCCCGAGTAAAAGGAAGGGATTCAGGCTGCCGATTGACTCACTCCTTCCCCTCTGGAGCTGCTCCTTTCTCTTCAGAGCAAGTTGCACACCAGCTCCTCTTTAAATAGCCTCCTGGAGGGGGCGTTCCCCGCGCCTGAGTGGCGAGCTGGAATGGGAGAAAAAATGTCCAAATTCCAGGGAACATGAGCAGATTCCTGTGGCCCTGGGGCTGCCGACACAGCCTGCAGCTTGGTTGCTTTCCACGCGGGTAAATCAAACCCCAGGAAAAGCAAGATGTTTATTTTTATTATATTTCCCCCCCCCTTTTTAACTCCACAAGTATGAAGCCTGGGACAGCTTTCTTGACACAACCCCCCTTTTCCTACCTGCATCCATTCCTGTTTGGCTGCTGGACTTTATAAGCAGAGTTTTGTGGTGCTTTCCTTGGAAGAGGAGGGAGAGATGGAGAAGTTCAGGGCTGTCAGGCACAATTTGGTACCATAGTTGCCCAGGCATCACCAATGCTTGGCACTGCCAGCCCTGAGAAGTGACAGCTTCACCACTAGAAAAGCTGCTGCCTGAACTCCTGCAACGAGGAGCTGCTTGTTGTACAGGGCAGTTGAAAAGCTACAGGGTGAAAGTTGTTGATAAAGGGCAGAACTTCCCTGTAGGGTTCTCTTTGTGCCTGGGGATTGATGTGGGATATCACACGTTTTGATCTCGGGGCAGGATGTTTGCTGATTGCTGCTGAAATACAGAATCACATTTCTCAGCCAGCCTGCACAAAAAGATCTTTAGAATATGAAAGGATTGGTTTGTGTATGAAAAGAGTTGTTTTGTTTATTCCCAAACAGCAAGGGGGATGCTGCCATGGGAAGATGAGGAGAAGGAGTGCAGCAGAGGGCACTCTTAGTCCTTGCTGGCCTGGGGTGTGACAGAAGATTGGGACCCGACTGGAACCCTCTGTGCTACACATGAAGTGGCCTGGGACCTTTCCAGGGTAGAAGAGTGTGAATTCCAGCCAGATATGTGTCCTTGATTTGGGGCAACCCCGATGAGAGGGCAGGAGCACCATCCACAGGGTGCACTGTGCTGTGCAGTCCCTGCCACATCCCAGCAGTGGGATCATAAGGATCATGGGAAGCAGGGCAGGAGATGCAGAAAAACCTAGGGAGCTTGTAGTGGATCGTTTAATACAGCCTCCTTCCTTCCTGCAGAGCATCTCCGCTGGGAATCAAGCCCTGGGTTTTACTCAGGTCCTTTCAGGTCCCAGATCAGCCTCCATACTCCCTGTGTCACTGCTTGTCCAGTACTGAAAACAGAAAACCCCAGCTCTGAATTAATGAGCACTTGGGAAGGCCCTCAGAGGCTGGAGAGCCTTAGCCCAGAGCAAACCACCTCAGCTGCACCTCCTGCTGCTGCTCTTCCATAAGACCAGGCATTTCACAATCATTTCCTCAACAGCTCCCTCTGCTAATGTCACAACGAAGGATTATGTCTCCACACAAAAGATTTAATGTACTGGAGGTGGCATAAACATCCAGTGCCCCAGAGCAGCTGGGAGCTAGAGGCAGTTGAGCTGGATGTACATTCCTTCCCCTTTCGGGAGGTTTGGCACCTTCAGCTGTGTTGTCACCTAAAATTAGCTGCTCACATTTCACAGGACATTGATAGAATCATAGAATCCCAGACTGGTTTGGGTTGGAAGGACCTTAAAGATCATCAAGTCCTAACCCCCTGCATGGGCAGGGACACCTCCCACCAGCCCAGGTTGCTCCAAGCCCCATCCAACCTGCCCTTCAACACTGCCAGGGATGGGGCAGCCACAGCTTCCCTGGGCAACCTGGGCCAGGCTCTCACCACCCTCACACCCAACAATTTCCTCCTCATCTCCAACCTCAATCTCCCCTCTTCCAGTTTTAATCCATCCCCCCTTGTCCTCTCCCTCTCTGCCCTTGTCCCAAGTCCCTCCCCAGCTTTCCTGGAGCCCCTTCAGGCCCTGGAAGGGGGTCTAAGGTCTCCCTGGAGCCTTCTCTTCTCCAGGCTGCAAAGTGCCAGGAGCAGTGCCAACCCCTCCATGTGTTTCTGGGGACAGAGGTGCCCACTTTGTCCATCAGAAAATCTGTCACAAAGGCACCATTTTACCATAGGCTGAAGAAAAGCAGAGGAGCAGTAGGAAATGAAGGACAAGGGATAGGGAGCTTCCTAGACTCATAATCCAACATTTTCTTAGGGCACTGGGACAACCAAAACCACCCCTAACCCCAGCAGCTGAACTGTTCACCCCACTGGTCATGCCACGTGCCAAGAACCAAGAGAAGAACACGAAGGTTGAGTGTCTGAGAATGATCAAAGGGAGGAAACACCCAAGCTAACACCAATTTCAGTCTCTCCTTTTTGCCTGAGCTGCCTCAAGTGAAGGGATGAAGATGTCAACCCTGCTTAAAATCTCCCCCAAGCAAAAAATAGTGGGTGTTTAATTCACCTTGTTACGTTCTTCTGGGTTCACTCACGAACCAGTGGCTTTCCTGAACTTACAGTAATTAATATAAAAAGACACATAGAAAATTGCTAAAAATCATGTAAGGCTGAAGAAGAAAAGGGAGGCAAAAACACCCAGAGGTTTTTGGCTCAGCCTGATCTCTCCCAGAAGCACTCTGCCTGCAGAAGCCAAAATAAAAAGGTACAAGGAGCATGGTCAGGGGTGTCATATCATAGAATGGTCTGGGGGCTCCAGAACTGGAGTTGGACACAGGACTCATGTCATGGTCCCCTGTCTCAAAGCTGCTCAGATACCTGCAGGCCACACTGGTGGCTCTCAGAACTGCTCCTTACAAGAAGCTTTCCATTCCCACAGCTGGCCAGTGACAATCAGCTCTGAATATAACAAAGAAGCAGGAATTCATGCACAGTCCAGACCATGGAGGAGAGCTCTGGGAAGCCTGATGGAGCCCCCAGCCCTGCTGCAGATGCCCTGTGTGACCAGGCTGCAGCTACAAGCCCTTCACAGAGCAGTGGAGAAAGGGCTGCAAGCACAGAGCTGGAGGCAGTGTGGGCTGTGCAGGCCTGTCCCAGGACACTCTGCTGGTGCAGGCAACTCCTTCAGGATTCCTGGGCTCAGCATCCAGGTGACTGGTCCATAGGGAAAATCCAGATCTCCAGGGCAATGCAGAGCTGCAGGCAACCACCTTGTGCCTCAAGGTTTGTCAAGGTGTGATGCAAAAGTACCAGCACAGGTCATCAGTGGTAGCGTTCCAGTGGGGTGATCTCCTGAGACCCTGAACAGCTGTGATATGAAGGTGAGTCACGACCACAGGCAGGAGCATTTGTGCAGAGGCACTGGATTGCACAGAACTGCAGAAGGAACAGGCCCTGGGAGGAAAGTCATCTGCACCCACCTGTGAAACGGATGCTCCCTTGGGTTTTTCCACTTCTTAACTTACTGCATGCTTAATTATCCTGAAGGAAAATGGCAGGGAGGAAGGATATGTTTAAGGTGGACTTGGGCAGGCTTCTTTAAGGAGGCCTCCTGATCTCCAGGCCTCCTCTAGTGCACAGCTCTGATGTAGCTGAGCAGCAATCTGTCCCCTGGGGGAGCTGGGCCTCACCCCACCTGCAGAGAGGAGGCACAGAAGGATGAGCTAAAGGTAACCTGGCTTGTGAAAGAGAAGGGGCTCACACAAGGTCTCTCTAGACATGGGCCACTGCATTAATTGCTGGGCTCTGCCACCCCCTGAATAAACAGCCACTATCCCAAATTGGCAGGAGCTGTTTCCACTGCATGAGGCAGGCACTGCCAGGACTATAGAGCCATTTCTGAAAGGGTGTCAGGGAAAACTCTTCACTTGATCCCATCCCTTCAAAGACCTCTGGCATCACGAGTGCTGTGTGATCATCATGATCAAGGACATGGAGCTCCTGGAGAGACTCCAGAGGAGGCCACAGAGATGATCCAAGGGCTGGAGCAGCTCTGCTCTGGAGACAGGCTGGGAGAGTTGGGGTGTTCAGCCTGGAGAAGAGAAGGCTCCAGGGAGACCTTAGAGCACCTTCCAGGGCCTGAAGGGGCTCCAGGAAAGCTGGGGAGGGACCTGGGACAAGGGCAGGCAGGGAGAGGACAAGGGGGATGGATTAAAAGTGGGAGAGGGGAGCTAGAGGTTGGAGAGGAGGAGGAAATTCTTGGGTGTGAGGGTGGTGAGAGCCTGGCCCAGGTTGCCGGGCTGCTGGGAGGTGTCCCTGCCCATGCAGGGGGTTGGGACTGGATGATCTTTAAGGTCCCTGCCAACCCAAACCAGGCTGGGATGCTATGATCACCTAAGCCCCAAGGAACTATGCCCCAAAACCCAGGGCTCAGCCCCTCAGCCACAGCCCACCCTGCTGCAATCAATTGGTCTTCCCTAGTTCAGAGCAGCTGCACATCTCACACAGACCCAACAGGCAGGAACAGGTCCCTGAGCTCTGCCAGGCTGGTAGGACCTGGAGGGGTGGGTGGCCCACCAGGACGTGTGTGTATCTCTCATTAAGGATTTGGGATTCCAGCAGGAGCCTGCCCACACCTTTCCCATTCAGATCTTGGAAAAATTCCAGCTCCTTACACAGAATTAGTGAATAATTTAGGCTGGAAGGACCCTTAGGTCATCTGGTTCTTCCTGCAGCTGAGCCCAATGCAGAGGATAGAGAAGAGGGGTAGACCTTAGAGCCCAAGAGGAGAAGTGCAGGTCAGGGGGGTCTGCCAGTTCAGCCAGGCAGTGCTCAGCCTGCTCCTCTGCAGCACAAAGAGATCGCAGCACATGAATCGTTGATGGCCTTTCTAGCCCTTGGGGATGTGCCAGGGAGCCAGCCTTGACAGGGAGCTTGCACCTTGAGAGAGCCAGGGACTCCTCCCAGCTCAGGGAGTGTTGACCTTGGAATGTAACCCAGACATCCAGTGCCTGAAGGGCTCCAGGAAAGCTGGGGAGGGACTTGGGACAAGGGCAGGCAAGGGAGAAGGCAAGGGGGATGGATTAAAACTGGAAGAGGGGAGATTGAGGTTGGACATGAAGAGGAAATTCTTGGGTGTGAGGGTGGTGAGAGCCTGGCCCAGGTTGCCCAGGGAAGCTGTGGCTGCCCCATCCCTGGCAGTGTTGAAGGGCAGGTTGGATGGGGCTTGGAGCAGCCTGGGCTGGTGGGAGGTGTCCCTGCTCATGCAGGGGGGTGGGACTGGGTGATCTTTAAGGTCCTTCCAACCCAAACTATTCCATGATTCTATAAAAGAAGCTGTAAGCACTGCTGATGGGAGAACATGATCTTCCTCCCCAAGTGCTGCCCAAAGTGCTCTGATTCACACACCCATGATCAGGTGTGAATTGTGAAGTGTGAGACTTTCACTGACATGTTCTTGATTATTTTAGTTATA